GTACACGCACATTCAACACAATGAGGGTTATTAGCCCATGGCTGTCGTTAAAGACACTCGAACATAGACGTATACTCCTCAGTGAGAAAGAGGCCTACGTAAAACTTCTGCCTTTCTTTGGCGAAGCCACCCGGTTGCTATGTAACACCATACCGAGCTAGAACACTTCCCGCGATTCCAGATAGGGATTTAGTGGGAAAAGGGGGCAATTGGCTCCTTCTGAAAAAATAGAAAATTGGAAAATAGTCAGTCGTCCCATTTCAGCTCTTAGGATGGCCAAGCTAAACATCGTTCTTATTTATAGCGAGTAGAGGAAAGTAGTAGTCGGCCGCGCTATCGTTTTAATGCCCTTTTACAAAGGTAGAAAGAGGAAGTGGAAGAACACAAATAACAATGGGCGTTGATGTGACAGCGCAGCCAATCACGAAAGAATTCTTTTTCACAATCTTTTGGAATGCTTGGGAACTATCTATCCTCCCTGCGGATTACTTCAAAGTGTTATAATAGGTATAGTATCAAAGTTTTATTTTATATTTCTTTCGAAAAGTACGAATGGCATATCCCTATCCTAAGGGTCATTGATTTTCCAGCAAAGTGGGAAGACCTTTTTTCCTGCAGTTCATACAAACTATTACCTATAGCTTACATTATAAAATAAAAAAAAAATAAAAATAAAAACTGCCGTTAGAAACTAAATGTATTAAAGCCCGTGTGGTGAGTATACAAATCCGCTCTAGAGCGGATGTCTTGTCTTAATTTTTTTCGGTCATTTATATTTTTATATTTATATAAGGGTTTACTTTAAGGATTTTTATTCTTTTTCTTTCTTTTGCTTTTTTCTTCTTGTTTTTTTTTTTTTTCAATTTATTAAAAATTATACAATTCAACATTTCAACAGTGTTGTATTTTATCGTTTAATTTGTTTTTATTCTCTTCTTGAATACTATTTATATTTATTATATAATGCACTTTAAATTATAAAATAAAAACAAATTGTATTTTAATTTGTTTTAATACATTTTCTTCTTTTTTTTTCTTGTTGTTGTTGTTCTTGTTAAATCTTCTTACAAAAATTTCTAAATTTTATAATCTATGAAATACTCAATAATTTTTCATTTTTCTTTTTACTGTGTTTTTTTTACTTTAATTTTAATTTAATTTTCTCTTTAACTCGTTTGCTATTTATATTATCAATAGGCAAACTTTGTATGAGATTACTTACTTTTGTTGTTGTTATGTTTTACTTTGTTCTTCTTTCTGTTTTTTATATTTTAGGGTTAAAGTTTTTAAATTCCTAGTGTTGTTGGTTGTATCATGTCTTTATTTTTAGTTGGTTTTTTTTTTTTTTTTTGCTTTTTACGTTTTCTTTATTTAATTATAATTATATTACTTGACTTTGTTTTTTTTTTATTATTTATTTATTTGGATAATTAATTTTATAAATATTTAATTAAACTACATAATCTTAGTCTGTAAATTTAACACAACAACTTTTCAATGAAAAAAAAAAAAAAACTTTTTTTTTTTTTTTTTTTTTTTTTGTTTTCTTTTACGAATTCTATGCACCTTTATTTTTATTTATTTACTTTTTACTTTATTTTACGTTGTTACTTAATAATTGTGTTTATCTTTGCATGTCCCTTATTAAAGTTACACAGCAAGAATCCTAATTGGAATTTGGTGGTATATAGAGAAAGTAGAAAAAAAATTCATAAATCGAATAATACATACATAGGAAAGTATATATATATACATCTATATGTATAAATTTTCGGAAAATAAATTTCTTCTTATTTTTTGTTTTTAAATTAATGAACGAAAATCGCTTGTTTACTATACATAAATTTATACAGTAGTTTACAATAGTGGAGATGTGAGAGGGAAATCGTGGCAAGAAAGGGGAGCTTATGTTGTGAAGAAGATGTTCTTTTTTCTCAGTTCCAAATTATTCACATAATAATCCCCAACGTGAACTTATTTCTCAATAAAATTGAAGGCAAGTACGTCAAGTTCGATGCAAGTTGAACAAGCAATAAAACTATATTCGCTTTAATCTCCAATTTTTAATACCCATAGTTAGCGGGTAGAGTGTTGCAATAATAATGAATGTATTAGATAAATCGCAGATCGATGCTTACTAGGGAGCAAACGTTATTGATACAAGAAAACAAATAAGAAAATAATACTCGGCTGCAACAGAAGCGTTTATACCTTCTACCGTTATTCTAAACAAATAAAAATATTACAGTCGCAGAAAGCCCACCATTAAATCCGCTACACCGCCCTACGGCTGTCTTCACATCGAATTTTCAACATAATGCGTTATAAGAGAAGTGGTTAAAAAAATAATCCGATCCGAACCATTTCCCGTAGCATTCGTCCTTGAGTGAAGAAGTATTAGTATACAAATTCATCAACACATCTCAACAATGGCGGCTTGAAGCGTGAATCCAAGAAAACAAGGCAAACAGACAGCCAGGCAGACAGATAAATTTTATAAATGAGTCTACCGCAATTTCTTCTGAATGCTGTACACATTCGCACAAAGTTAATCTACGCTTGTAACACAAGCGGTGCAGGGTATAAAGACCCAAAGAATGGATAAAACTAAATTTCCGTATCCTATAATAAGAGAGTTACACTATTTCGGGATATAGGTAGATGGTTAGTTAATTACTGTTTATATTAAGCCATTTAGTTCGAGGGAAATATATCTTATTATAAAAGGGAAATGATTGTATGAGTGGATAAAGGATCTATATCATCGAGATGCAAGTAAGGAGTAAGAGTACGTAAGCCAAAAATACCAAAAACATCGCATTAGTTAAGTACGATACGTAAGTTAATTAGTTTCACGTATTGCTAAGGTGTAGTAACAACAGTACCAAAAGGGTGTAGAGGGCTTTTTTTAGGCTTGTGTAGAGCGTCTATCGAAATAAGGCCACAAACAGGATAAGAAGTTAAGTTAAGTTGATTTCATTTGACAGGGCTGATGAGTCTATAGCACAGACTTAACTAAAAAGCCAATGCCTGAAATGAAACTACGCTTCTCAAGTGAACGTAAAGCTATTATATATAAGACTCATTCTTTGAAAGTTGAGCTTAAGAGTCCCACGGCAAACTCCTTAATGCAACATGTAAAAATTGTTTTTGAACCGATTCAATAGCATCTACGTGACAACGATAGGGCCGAGACCATGCGGCAGAAGCGTATTCAAGCCTAGGCCTAACCAACGACATGTACGATGTTTTTGCGATGCGTGGACCCAGAAATTCTCTTCAGCTGGCTTCTTTCAAGCGTTTCATGAAGCCAAGCCCTGATCCAGCCTTATTAACAGACAGTTTAATATGTAAGGATATAAAAAATTAGCACCTTAGACAAATACGGTTTTGGAAAATATTGCTTTTCCTACTTACCAGGCATTGAGGGTCAAGATCGTGACACCAGTTTTGGAGGTGACCTTAAACAGGTAAACTTGAGTTTAGCTAGAATGCGTATGAAATTTAGCACTTTAGATGAATATGACTCTGGAAAATGTTGCTTTTTCTACTTTTCACTCATTACCGATGCAGAAAGAAAGAGAGACTGATAGTTAGGGTAGGTATAAGAAAGTAGCACCTTAGACGAGTATGGCTCTGGAAAGCTCTGTTTCTCCTACTTCTCGTTCGTTAAGGGTGAAGATCGTAACATTAGTCTTCGGGAAAAACCTTGAACACCGAAAGTTGCTTTTCCTACTTGCCATTCATTTATGGTGAAAGTGTTAAGACGGCTCTTAGGATGAGTATATAGCAGCTTAAATGAATATGGCTCCTACTTATCGTTAATTGATGTTGAAAATTTGAACACAAGTTTTTGAGGATAAACTTAAACGCAAAAGCTTGAGTGTAGCTAAGTTGGGTATAAAAAATTAGTACCTTAAACGAATATGGCTCTGGGAAATTCTGTTCTTCGTGCATGGCATTCATTCTGCGTGTATGTCAGTAAGTAGAAATTTCGTCATTCGACGAAAAAGCTTACTATTAAGCTTTCGGATAAAGTCTTCTTCTTCGCAACTGTTGATAATGGAGAAGACGAAAAAGGTCTTAAAGCGAGGGATGAATTTGTTAGTAACGAAATTGTTTGTCCCTAAGTTTGGTGGGTTCATATATAAAATTCATCATAGTCGAATAGGATTTTCATAGATTTTCGGGGAAAGTTTTCATTTTAATTTGCGCGTCATGATGTTTATTGAGAAGGAATAACGTTGCAAGAGAATGATTGATTGAATTGAATTAAAAGGTTTAGTCAAGAAGAGTTCGAGATTTATTTTTGTAATGTGGATAAATATAAAAATTCGCACCTTGGACGAATATGGATTTTTATAGTCTTTCGAGCAAAGTCTTAATCTTCATAGTTGTGTCAATCGTTGAGGGGGTATATCGTTATCAAACAGATATTAAACAGAGTGTTTTTTGATCTTTTTTTTTTTCGCGCGTTGGAAAAAGTTATTTTTGCTTTTCTTGGTTTAAGTATGCATGTATGTATGAATGTATTATTTATTTATGTTTAATTTTTTTTTATTTTTTTTTTGTAATTCTAAAATCGTTATCATCTCGTTTATTGTGTGAGTTTACCTTTTTCACTAACTAAAAAAAAAAAAGAAAAATATATATATATCCGAGTTTGAATTTTTGTTTTGTGTGAATTTTACGCTTTTTGTAGTTATTTTTATTGTTTTTTTTTTTTTGATTTTTCCTTTTTTACTTTATTTTTATTTATTTTATTTTACTTAATTTTTTATTTTCATATTTAGAATGTTTAGCCTGGATTTATTTTAAACACTTTTTTTTACATAGCATAAAATGTAACTTAATTTAAAAAAAAAAAAGAGAAAATGAAACAAAAAAAAGAAAGGATAACTAGAAAAGAATTTATTTGTTCACATTTGCTAGGAATTTTAATCGTAATTTCTCCTTTTCTTTCTCCTGCAAATACAGACAAATCAAATCGAATAACAATCAAGACGAGTTGATTAGTTGAATATTGAGAGTTGTTGTTGGCTTTGGTCGATGCAATCTAACTAATCTTTGAAAATCTACAAGATAATGATAATTACATGCAATAACATCATGATCTTGGGTTATTTTTTTTTAATTTCAAATGATATTAAATAATTTTAATTAAATCATTCATTCATTAATTATGATACAATTTTTAAATTAATTTCTTAGCTTTTCTAAAAAAAGAAAAAGAAAAGACATTATTATATACTTTCACTTGCTTTTCTACACAAAAAATCTTTCAAATGCTTTTTTTTTTCTCCATTTCATTTAATAAATTATAAAAAAAAAAAAAAAACAGCCACACATACGTATATTTGTACATATGAAATGAATTAAAATTCATAAATAATATACGGTGCTAGATAGGGAGAGATGATAAAGAGAACATTTTTTGCTTGATTTTCCAGGTGATTTATGTAAAAATCTGATTTGCTTTATTTAATGTTTCTAAAAGTTTTAAATATTCAAACTGTAGTGTGATTTTGTAATTTTACTTATATAAAAATTAATTTTTATACCCACCACCAAAGGATAAGGAGACTATGGATTTTCTTTCAACTATATGTATCCAGGTTGTTTCAAATCCTTATTAAACGCCCATTAACTGACAATCCATGGATTCATTTCCTTCTCCTTTCGATATATTTTTGAGACTAAACCTAACTAACTACCTTTACGATTATGTTCGAACATTCTGAATGTCAACGTTTATAAGTTTTCAGAATAAAAGCACGTAAAGATAAGTAAAAACGCTATAGTTAAGTAAGGCTGACCATTAGATACCCTACACCACTTCGTTTAATGCGCTAGAAATTATTCATTATTTTTATGTAAACGTTAGGTATGTTTTCCCTGAAAGGAGGATACTCAAAACCTAAACATGCTCTAAGTTTAGCAAACTTAATCTACTTGCCAAGTGTTTTATTATTTTCCAGTTGTTTTCGTCATAACAAACCACACATTAGGCTTTGTCGCCTTCAGAAAACCTATCTACGGTGCAATATATGGAAAATAGATCTCTGCGACCCAAATTCCCATTCCTCGATTTACTAAGGCCATTATCATAACACATGTTAAACATTAGACCCTTTTGGCATATAAAACTTTATCTTCTCTTTAGAACCTTTACATGGGCTGGGATGCAAAGAATAGATCTACGTAATCCAAATTCGGTAGGATTAACTACTTTTACTATATAAAGGATCGTAGGAACGCTTATATGGCAAGAGGTTCAAAAAATTGCCCCACCCAACCCCGTTTACACCAATTGAGAGAAATGCACCATAAAAGAGAAATTCCAAGAATTACAACCTTTTTTCATGGAAAATATGATGATCCGAACCATTTTCAATAGCGTACATCCTTACGCGAAAACAAGTCGGTTTACGAAATTCCATCAAAATGACCCAAAAATTCCAATATATGTACAGACATCCGAGAGACAGACAAGCTTAGATCGATTCGAAAAATGGTTTCGAATTGATCGGCACAATAAACGCCCTTTCAGGTGTTGTGTGCACCCGCACAAACTTAATATACCTTGTATCACAAGTGATGTAGGGTAAAAAGATGACATTATCCGTTAATAAATGCTACTGAGAACAGTCAAGTTAACAGTTAAATTATTGGTCTACTGGAATGTTTCGTCCGTCTTTAGAATCGTAGCTTCCGATTACGATACGAAATTTGTTTGTTTAGCTGAATCAAGCCTTTCCGCCACTGATATTATCAAAAAAGGATAATGTCGTCATCGCTCAAAGATGGTCGCCCGAAATCATCTATTTGAAATTTTTCGAACCATCTCCTGCATGTTCTATTAAAAAGTGTGCTTTCACCGAATACTTTTAATAAATCTCTACCTGCTTCTACCGTGTTTCTATCAGTAGTCGTGCGTGCATGATCGCGTCTCTCTTAGTACTAACCATTAATCGTCTTTGCTTTAATAATGAAAAGAGAAAGCCAAATATGCTTGACATGGACATCGGCATACCTGTTGAAACTTGCTGTAAATGGAACGGGCAGTACTAGAGACGGTAGACCTATTATCTTCGCAATTATCGTGGTGCCATGAGAATAGACAAACATAAGCTAGGCTTTCAATAAAAAAAAAATAATCACATGATTTGATCTTAAAGGAAAAATCTATTACGTACTACCTTATGTAAAACTGCGATAGGCAATGAAAAGCGATTAGTTCATAATTCTCTTCGTTTAACTAACATGCCCAAAAAATTGGCGAACAACCATTGAATTTCGCAAAATTTGCCTGAGATGATGGGTGCACAAGATTCGCTCAAAAGCGAATGAACTTTTTTTCTTACTTCATACGATTAGTTTGTTTATTTCAATATTTATATTATATGTGGTATTTTTGAATTTTAGTCACATCAACTTTATTTTTTTTGTTTTGTTTTCTTTTTTTTTTTGAAAATTTCTTCTCATATTTATGTCATCGATTAAGTTAAACGATTGTAGTTTCAATTAATTTTTTTTTTTAATAATTCTTAAAAATTTTATCAGTTAGTTTAAAATGATTGAATTAAGTGATGCTATAGTGATTACTAGTAGAATTAGTAGTAGTAGTAGTAGTAGTAGTAGTAGTAGTAGAAGAAGTGGCGGTGATATTGGCAGATGGTGGTGGTGGTGGTGGTGATGATGGTTAAAATGGGGGATTGTTGGTGGTAGCTACGGTGTAGTTAAAGTTGAATGCCTTTTTGCTTCTCATTACTCTCTGATTTGATTTTTGTATATTTATTCAAAAGAAGTCATCTGATATTTTTTAAATTTATTTATTTACTTTGTTATTATTTTCATATTTCACTTTTTCTCATGATTATTTATTATTTTCAATTAGAGCATCGGCGCTATCATCAACTGTTAGCGAAATTGGTTTACATATAGAAAAATGAAGAAAGAAACGTGAAAGAACACAACAAAAAAAGACAAAACGACAAGATATTCGTAGGAAGAGAAATGTATGTGAATAGGAAATTGATGCGATTAAAACAATTATTGATTATTTATGGCATAAGATAAGGCATGAGCATACAATTATTCTAAATATGTGTAAGTTACTTATGGATGTAGTAATGTGACGTGTTATACAATTCAAGATATATCCAATAAGGCAGACATAATTTAACCATTAACATAAACAACTTAAAATGAAGAGATTAACAAATCAAGGGTATCAGTAATATATGTTGTTGTTGTTTTTTTTTGTTTTTTTTTTTGATTATAGCATAATTCGAAGTTATGAGTTCGTCATCATATCTTTGCGTAGAGTAGATTAATAAATACATTTTAAAAACATGAGGCGTTTAGCTGAACTCTCAATTGGTTTGTGACCTTCGGTATAAACCGACAAGTGACGGCTTAGTTAACAATGAAAAATAAATACAGAACAAGCAAGAAAGCAATACTCGTTTTGAGTCGCCTCTTGTATACCAGCCACACCAACAAGGTATAAAAGACCTTGAAAACTTGCATTCGTTTTGTGACGACAATCAATCACAGTTGCTGGTATTTTTTTCCCCCGAGTTTTTTTTTTTTTTTTTTTTTGCCTTTTTGGTGTAACTAATCGCTTAAGAATTGTGCTCTGTTCGTGAAACACGATGATGGTCAGAAAGTAGTGAGCAAAGAAAAAGAGATAGGGCTGTGGCGTACGCAACCTATGCGTGTGTGTCCAGTGTTGTCAGTAAGTGTTGCATCTTTATCGACTGGGAAATAAACTCTACTGCACCGAATTCTTACCTAATCAGCTACTACTGCGGATATATAGTAAACCGACTGAATTTTCCTAATAAATATTTAAATTTTCATTTTGCTGAGGGATGCCGCCTAAGGACTATAACGTGTTTCGCAATAACACTTTTCAATTTTTCGACAATTGTATCGCGACGTGTACGGGCAAAACATGTCCAACATGTAACTTGATCTGCGATATACTTGCCATATTTTTGATCCACAGACGACAAAACTGGGCTAAGGAGACAGTATTTCACTGCCGTTCCAGTGTAAATTTATCTGTGTTATGAAATGATAAAATGCGTAACTTCATCCTTCCATCGGTGGAGAGCATAAATATCGTCAAGAGAACACCAGGCTTTTAGCATTCATTCTGAACTTCTTTACAGCAATAAGTAAATAATGCATCTGATAAATACTTAGATTACCATTTATGGATAGTCGTGGCCTGACTGCACTTTTTGAAATTCCTTTTAGGGGCATTTCTGTGTCTCACAAACACTGTAAAACTCTCAAAGCTGAAGCAGAAAGCATAACGAATTCGCCAAGCTCACAAATATATGAAATTAAAAATATTTACACTGCAAAGACTGCGTCGATATACGTGAATCATCGCATTCCAAATTTATTTAAAAATGATTGATTAATTTGATCCACGATTGCGTCCAGTTGCGAGGTGCAACTATTTCATCCAAGCTTTGATTGCAACCTAGTATGGAATACATTAGTACGATAGTTCAATCAATGCTGTAATATGAACAATTAAGCCCCGCACACGTTGCCACAAAGGCATATGTACATAAGATTATAACATTAGTTCGTGAACTTATTGATCAGATATTAAAAGAATTAATTCATGAAGCTGGATTTAGATCTGTTTATCGTTCAATCAGAGCTTCAGGCAATAATGCCTTGAGAGGCAGGCTTTATTACGGTACCTTGCCTGGTGAAAGTTTATTCCTACTTCCTAACTACCTCTCTTAGTGTACGTTCTTTTATTATAGAATTTCCCATAGTAATCTAACAAGCGCGGATGTTTTCAGTGCTAATCTAACCCTCGTAATCTGCAGTCCGCCAGCAACTACTTGAAATTCATTTGGCATGGGACACAAGAACCTATCGATGCAGTGCAGTAGAGAATGTATTTGGTGGAATACAAGCTTTGTTCCTGAAGACCCTATTCTCATTGGAATGAGTGAATCTGTCCTTGGTTTTTCCACATGAAAGAGGAGCTCGCCAGAGAAACCCCAGTAAGAGAATTTACAGATATAAACGTTATATCAGAAATTGCGATGCCAGCAAAGGATAAACATTGTTTGTACCCCATAGTCTACTCATAGTCTACAGGCATTTGCAGGCAGTAGCAAATGTTATTTATTATAACTCGTCACACTTCTAACAGTAAAGTTTGCCTCGTTAACATAAAACAAGTCGACTGTTAGACTAAGTGATTGTTTTGAACGTAGATAATAGTTAGAGATGCATTTATCTACACACTTATATAGGCAAAATAGTAGTTACGAAAGTTTAAAGTGGCATTAATTATGTTGTATAATAATTAAAAGTGCAAAATAAAAAATGCTTATCGTAAACTAAGGCAAGCAAAAAATGAAGCGATTTTTCTTCTTGATTTTTACTGTGAAGCGAGGGTGTACGTTTAAGTTCTCAGCGGAATTGTAGCTGCTGTGCAGCATTCGTACATTTTCACTGCATTTATAGATGTTGTTAATAAATTACAACAAAAAATTAAATTCTTACATAATGCAGCGTAGTTTACGTTTTCGATCGAGCAAGATTGCGTATTTGTACACATTACATGTTCGTGGAGAATGTAGATGTATGTTCAAAATAAGTATAAAAAATTTATCAAATAAATTATTTAACATTTTAAGTGGTCCAACGGTGTCTATGAATGCATAATTGGAGTCGAATAAGTAACTCGAACTTTTATGTGGCTCCGATAAGCGATCTACGTCTAACCTATCGAAGTTATAGGCAATTTTTGAGATTTTTTTTTCGTAGCTTGCCTTGGGATGCAACAAATCGGACGAAAGATGTAATAATTCCGCTATCGAACAAATGAAGGACATTGCTTACCTTGAAGAAAAATCTACAAAAGTTGCACATTTCGCAATTATGTAATTACCCGAAAGCTAAGAATGTGCCGATCTTTTATTATTGTTTTAAGGAAACTTGAATTCCAAAGACCTGCTCGGAGTTACGCATATTTCAACTTATTGATGAGTAGAACTGAGTTCCTGGTGTTTTCTGATAAAACCTAACTGTATTTAAAATGCGAAATAGCCATCGAACCATTTTCGCACATCTTTAACTTTTGTGAACCGTTGACCAGCTAAATATGACAACATCGATCTGAATAAGAGATGATCGAAATGGGGAAGACCTGGACTTGGAGTGGGTGCGATAAAATTTTTCAAGCTACACTATTTAAATTTTCATTGTTTTTTTTGCGCAAAATCCCGCAAACTACTTTCCAAGTGTTTCGTAGCTTACTGCTTATCCTTTTCTCTATTTTTTTCCAGATTAATCCTGTTAAAACCACAGTTCCGCAAATAACATCCGTCTCTTTAAGATTTGATGCATACTGAACGACAGCTTGTAAACAACTGAAACTGATATCATTCAAACATCAATATCTGTACATGAAAATTTGGAAGAACTGAAGCGAGCAATTTTAATGGAAGGAATTTATTTATGCTTCTAATATATCCCGATCATGTAGGATTAAACGCACTAAGTGACACAAGGTTTAGGTGTTAAAGTTAAACGTTAACTGACACCGCCTTTAGGACAATCCTGCATCTGAGGGGAGGCGCATAGCAAAGGTGAAGCACCAGATATGAAAGTAAGGGCATGTTAAAAACCGTCCCTTCGGGCCGAGGTGAAACACACCATACATGCAATGCGTTTCGGAGCCGAAAAACCGGTTTGTCCGTCATGTGTGCAATGATTTTCAATTGGAATTATCAGTCAGTATGAAAAAATGTAGCCTTTTTCTTACAATACATAGTATCTTAGAAGTACGTAAACGTAAAACTTGGTACTGGTTTGGTCCCTAAAATGAGTAAACCAAAGTTAGGATCATTCTTAAGAAAACTAGTCAATATAAGGGAAACAAATATATATCCGGTTCTGTGGATGATTCTGTCCCCAATGGATTAATGCAATATTATGAACTTAGCTGGTATGTGCATATGAAACCGAAAATTTATATGGAACATACATGTTTATGGTATGAACGTAATAAAAGAATATTTTATTTGAAATATTGCTCTTCGCTGAGCATTTGATTCTTCTCACTTATCTGACAATTTGTGGACAACACGCTAGACGAAAATGTTGCTCTCTGGAGGAAAATAAGTCATCGAGAAATTTTTGTAAAAATTGAAGCTCCGGTTAGCAAAAGCGCCTTCCCGTAAATATAAACAGATGGTAATAGGAACAACAAGGTTCTGGCGAGTAAGCCACGTTGGCGAGTGTTTGCAAATGTTACGCTACACGTAGATGTGTGGATAGACGGCGGTCCTGTCAGTTTGTTTTGACATTTTCGATATTTTATTCGTTTTGTAAACAACCAACGACGCAGATCGATTAACTGTTGCTGGTAGCATTTATTATTAACTAACTATTTCATCAGCTTTGAACAGCTATCAATAGACCATATTTTTTTGGTCCCGCTAAACACAGAATATGATATTCAGATCAATTCTTGGATTTTTGGAATTTTCTAATTGTAGTCCCAAATAATAGTTAATAAATTGAACGTAAAATGGATTTAATTGGATCGTCAAAAAAACACACAGACGTGCGTCGTGAGAAAGTTCGCTATCCAAACTGATCAAGGATATACGCATTATGGAATCCTGCATGCATGTCAACAAAAACTCTTGGATGCTAAATTCATTTATTATTTCATAGCTGTGTCTGTATACATAAAAAACTTATTAGTTTCCTATTACTATTTACAGAATACTCTTCCATTGCGTACAGGTGTAATACATTGTCTTCAGAACGGGAAAGAAAAAAAAAAAAGACAAAAAGACAAGCCTATAAAAAATACACGAGTAAACAAAATAGAAATGACTGCAACATAATTACAAAAACAACAAAAAATCGCTAAAAATGATGATGATTAAGAAAACGAAAAGTAGTTTTTTTTTCTTAAAAGATTTTTTTTTTTATTGAAATTTTCTTTTCAAAGTTTTATGTGTTTATGTTAATAAAGAAAACAAATTAAAAAAAAAAAAAGAAAACTTTTTCTTCTTAAAAGCAATATTTCTCTTACTTAAGTGTTTTTACAATGCAAAAAAAAAAAAAAAAAAAAATAA